GCTTTGCCGCTGAGCTAAATCCCCAGCCCCCACCTTGAGTTTCTAGGAGCTGAGCAGCACGGTGGGATGCAGCGCGCCTCGGGGCTGCTGAGCGCCCTTCCCCTTCCCTCCTGCCGCGGCCCCTCAGGACAGCCTGCCACTTGCTCAGCAGGCTCCGCTGCCCTGGCAGGGGAGCTTCGATTGCCAGAGCCCTTCCCTCCAGGGTCTCCCTGCCACCGCGGCCAGGTGTCACTACGCGGTCACCATGCCGGCAGTTGCTGTGGTGACGGAGAACTGCTCTGCACCGACCTTCAGCCCCCGGCTGCCCAACGCGGGTTCCCTCCCGGGGCGGTAGGCGCTTGGCTGGCGGGATGCACAGGCTGAAAGGCGGGGAGAGCGCGGGACCGCTGCGGGGTCGCGCCGCCGCCTGCTTCCCCTTAGGCTCAGCTCCCGCAGGCGGGCTCACCTGCCTTTCCTCGGGGTGGCCCTGCACACGGCCGGGGGACAGGAGCCGGGGCCTGGGCAGGATGGGCGCCTGAGGAGCCGTGGGCTTTCGCGGCCAGGGGCCCCACGCAGCAGGCGCGCCGCCGAGCAGAATCACAGAAGCCAGCAGGAATTTGCAGCATTTTTATTCCTAAATAAATTATCCAGTGCCGTGACTTCCACCCATCTGGACCGACTAATGCCCGCGAGCCAAGCCCGGGCTCTGCAGCACCGGACCTCCTAAGGGTCCTAGGGAGGAAACTGCCCTTCCCGCCAAGCCCCAGGCGCTGTCTTCCTGCGGAGGGCGAGGACAGCCCACACGGGGTGGGGGGGTGTATCCTGGCTTCTTCCGGGGTGCGGGGAGGTGCACAGGGGCAGGGGTCCGAGGACGCTCTCTCTGCTTCCCAGCCCGGAACAGCTTACATCGTTTGTTTGAGAAGCAGCAGGAGAGGAAAGGGAAGGGAGTGAGCCCCTTCTTCTCTCGAGAGCCTGGGCTTCAACCTGGAATTTTCATTCATTTTTTTTTTTTTTTAAATTTCTTTTTGAGACAGGGTCTCGCTGTGTAGTTCAGGCTGACCTGAAACGCATGGTGATCCTCCTGCCTCAGCCTCTTGGAGTGCTGAGATTACAAGTGTGCGCCACCACATTGCGTTTTTTTCTCACCTAAAACACTGCCTGAGGCCCCGGCAGAATTGGTGAATGAGTTCCCCTGCCCCAACCTGACCAATCAGCAGGGCTGGCACGCCCGCGTCCTGGAGGCGCACTAAAGGGAGTCAGCAGCACTGTCCCGCATTCTCATCCAAAGACATGACACCTTGCTGCCAAGGTGAGGCGAGGTCTCCCTGTTGTGGTTGCTTCCCAGGTTGCAGGACGCCCACTTGGCCAGTAGGGGGCAGACAAGGCCCACGAAAGCCAGGCTGGCACAAGTCCCAAGGTCCCTGCCCCTCCACAGGGCCTGGCTCTCAGCTGTCCTGTTGCTTTCAGTTCTCAGACAGAAGGTGGGAGCCGGGTGTGATGTGGCTAAGGCTTCGGACCTGGAGACCCAAGATAGTCTGAACTGAGATCCTGACTCTCCTTTGCTTAAACTGCAAACTTTGTTTTTCGGTCTTTTTGGGACCGGGTCTCGCTATGCAGTGGGGCTGGCCTTGGGCTCATTTTGTGGCCCAGGTTGCTCTTGAACTCGCAACGATCCTCCTGCCTCAGCCTCCCGTGTGCTGATATTACAGGCGTGAGCCCCCACGCCCAGCCCAGATCCCAACTTTCAAGAGACAAAATAAATTATTCTGAGCTGGGGTCAGAGAACAATATGCCTGCTCGCAGATTCCTGCTGCAACCCAGGTGTGCGCAAAAGTCCTCTCCTCTTTCTTTTTCCACGGAAAGAAAGTGGCGGAGGCCAAAAGTATGCAAGGAAAGGAAAGCTCAAACTACGCGATTGAGGCGCGCGATACAGCAAGGAAGGGGCCGCGCTTCAGCTCTGGCGGGCTCCTGACAACGTCCGGTGCGGTGCTGCGCAGGTGGGCGCGAGGGTGAGTCCCGCGGGTCGGAGGTCTGCCCTCCCGACGCCCCTGCTGCGAGCCAGGCCCACGGGGCTCGCCGGTCTCCACCCAGCCGCGTGAGGAGCCTCAACAGCCCCAGCGCCACCGCTCAAGCAGTTACGGGAAGGCCGGGTGGGCGCACAGGACCGGCCTTCCGGAGCGGGGCCGGGGCAGCTGCTCTCCCGCGTCCCGGGGCTCAGGGGGC